ATACATGAGTCTTTCAGTGGGACCACCCTCCTTCAATGTTGCCAAACAGGTTTGAGAGTTCCAAGCAGAGAAGCATGACGAAAAAGAGACAGACCAGATTGGAGAACCCGGCATCTTGGGATGGCTTCTGTTAAATACAATGAAGCCAGGCCTGTTGCCCTCCACTCCCTGGACAAACAGCACACATTAGTCCTAATGCAGATAAGACTAAAATAATAACTTAGAAATCTGATTAATCTTTATCAATACAGTCACCTCACTGAAAGTTTCTGCATGTCGCAGGTTTTGATGTCCAATCCAGGAACAATATTAGGGTAGGAGCTGTTGAGATGGTTAAAGCTGCCTCGTAGTTGCCCGCAGTGATCTTCAGGAAGGTCAAATGCATTTAATAATGTCATGATGTTACTAGGAAGAAAATGTGTCAGTGATTAGTAACTCTGGATAACTGGAATGTGAAAGATACATTCAGATTTTCACCTCTATCTTAATACAATACTCAATTCCATATGTAGATAGAAAGAGTTAGTGGTTGCTGTAATAATACCTCTTGTGAAGTGAACCCTTAGTGTGACTCCAATATAAGTTTAGATTGACCAAAACAGCCACGTTTATTTCAGTTCATTTCCCAACGTAATACAAAGTTTTCCCTTTTTGTTATTATTTGAGTCTATGCTAGCGTCTCTGTGAGGCTATATAACCACATCTGTACTTTGAGCTAAATGCTAACCAGCATGCAAACATGCTCACAATGACAATGTTAACATGCTTAAGTTTACCAGGAAGCATTTAACAGATTTACCATCTTAGTTTAGCATGTTAACAAGATAACATTAGCTAATAAATAAGTACAAAAAAGGAGGAATGAAAAGCAGCAACCAATAACTCTTTCAATGTACGTATGGGCATGATGTGAAAAAAATCTTCAGTATATACACATAGACCATTGAACTGGACATTTATGTGTTTGTCAATTCTAACGGAAATTTTCCAATTGACTTTTTCAAAACGTTTAAATTAATTGTACTCACTCGCTGAGACAGTTATCATATTTCTCTGTGGCCCTGAAGCCAATGATGGAGTAGGTGACTGCGGCAGCGTAGACCGAGGTAAGGCCAGTTACGACTGACAGGATCACAGCATCCTGCATGCAGTTGTTGCTTTGGGAAAAGAAATACACAAAAGAACCAAGGCACATGATGACTTTGGGTCTGGATCCATTTTCCAGTCAAAGTGAGCAAAATGAGACTTTAACTGCAAAGTAAGGTTTTCTAAATGCCACTTACTGAACAGGGTTGTAGCTTGAGAAGGAGATGAGGCCTCCCCATGCCAAACCAAAGGCATAAAAGACCTGAGCACCTGCATCCAGCCAGGTAGTTGGATTAATCAACTCATCAACCTGCAAGAGATATACAGTGAGATGTTGCCCTAAACTATATAATATATATATGCTATATATCAGATATATAATTGAAATTGATTTGAAACATACGTCTGGTGTGAACAGGAACTTTATTCCACTCAGGGCGCCTTTAAGAGTCAGTCCTCGGATAAGGAAGATGCCCAGCACTATGTAAGGCAGGATGGCTGTGACATATACTGCCTGAGGTCATGACAAGAAAAAAATTAATAATTGATCATGGATATCATATTTTAGTAATCATAATTGACCATTTGCTAAAAGCTTCCCTCAAACATCAATTGTCCAGTCATAGCCTAACAACTGTAAAGCACAGAGATCCTTTTTGTCAAGCTTTGGATTTGAAAAACTGATTGCAAAGCCTGGTTGAATCAATAAGAAAACTACATTAGCAGTTTAGAATGGAGCCTTGTGAAGTTGCAGTTTCATACAGTAAGTTTGTCTGGATTGTTAAACCAACAATCAGAGACAGAGACACATGCCTCTGTAAAATACAGGCAGATCTCCAGTTTATGGAAGACAAAGTGTTTTATTACAAAGTGATAAAAAAGTACCAAAGTCAGTGACCTAACTGTCTCTGTAGCATGTACAAATACAACAAAAGAGTGCATGTACAGAAGGAAAAAAGAAGTTTAAATTTTACTTTACAGCAACACAAAAAGTCCATGGGTCTATATACACTGCTGGATGATTTTTCAGACCAACTTACAACACAACAACAACATCAGTATTCTGCTCTCAGAACCCTGAAGGAAAATATAGTAGAGGGTGGTATTGTAATGCAAATTGATTTTTGAGGAAAACTAGCTGTGTAAGAATGGGAATGAGATCCAAGCAGTCCATTTTGGCGATTCCCACCAACAGGCTTACATACAGAAGTGGCTCACACCAAAACTGGGGTGGTGACTCTCTGTTCTATTAGCTTGTCTCAACAGTTCAATTTCAATTCAATTCAATTTTATTTGTATAGCGCCAATTCATAACAGAAGTTATCTCAGGACACTTTTCAAATAGAGCAGGTCTAGACCGAACTCCTTATAACATTTACAGAGACCCAACAGTACCACCATGAGCA